AACAACCTCGATTGCTCAAACAGTATAAAAATGGAAGTGTTCACTTCTAGTCCCTTACCATCAACATTGAAGACGGCGAGTACATCAGAGGACTCGTCAATAGGCGAGCGGAACGGGCGGAGATTCTTTCGCCTGAAACGGGAGAATGAGAAGGCATTAGCGGCGATGGTGATCGTGACAATTGCTCCGGCAAGCTTCGTGGCAGTGACGAAGAGCGCCCCAAACGTCATTTCGTCCGGCCACCGGGGTCGCGCTCGCTCACTGAAACTCAACGCAAGTGAGGCGGATGATATCCACTTGTCTCAGAGATAACGAACTCATAAAGCGTGAGCGCTTCAAGGGGCCCACCGCGCATATCATGTACACGGAATCTCTACTTTACGGTGGCTTAACGAAATACGGCCAACCTCCATCGGCGTTTTCTGGTATTTTCCACGTGAAGCAGAAGCAGGGTGCTCATGTGGTTGGCGCGGAGAGCTACATTCTGTTAACATCAATCCGAACCCAACCCGAAATGAGGTCCAATTCCTTGCGGAGTAGCAAGCTTCGGGCAGGTTGGGATTTTACCTCTTGAAACGCTAATTTAATTTTTAATTTAATTCTAAACATAAAATTTTAATATATTTTATTTTTATATCTATCTGTTTTTTTAAAATAATTTTTATAGTAATTATACACATTAAAAGTTCATCAAATAGTAATTTTAGGTAATACACATGATTAATAAAGATATTCTAGAAAAAGCAATATATTATTACAAATAACTAACTTAATTACTATTTTTTTAATCTCTTCAAATTAGTTAATTAAATTTTATATTAAAGATCAAATGCATACTCACCTTAAAAAAATATATTCTCATGAATATAATTGTAAATCAATTTTATTTAATTTTTTTTACCTATCAAAATAGGTCCTTCATCATTTGAGAATTTGCTTTTTAAAAAAAAAATTAAATCAGCAAACTTCTTACGCGTAATAAATCCTAAAAAAAAATTTAATTGTAATAAAGATATTTCAGCCATGGACCCTATTGTCGAAGGATATAGTCTTTGTGCCTCATCAAAAAAAATTAAAATAAAATTTTAATCTTTATCTTCAAAGCAGTTTATATTATCCACAACGGAATCATAGAGAACAATTATACAGTATATGCCACTATAAAAAATATACCTTTATTCAAAGCGAATTATAAATAATTAATGAAAGCATCATTTTGTTATCTATTTTATTTATCATCACGAAACGATCCACGAAGGAGGTTGGTTTGAGTAAAATTACATATATATGCGTAAAGTCTTTTCTAAAAATTATTCTTCTAAAATCATTTGAAAAACACATTTTGGGGTATTTAGGGCATCTAATTAACATTCACGCATGGTTTCATTTTTTTAATTTTAATCTTCATAACTACCAATGCGTGAACGAGCCGAGCAATATTTTAGGAGGAAAAATGTGTACGAAGATGGTAAAGGTAAATAATAAACCTTATAAATCATTTGGAGGAAAGATATATATATAATATATATATATCTATATATATAACCCCAACATTAAGAAAAGATTCACCATTTTTTCCTTTCTTTTCTTAATTCTTCTCACCAAACAATGCATGAACTGGCATAATGATGACATTAAAGAAATCCAACATCCATGCATATATCATTTTTAAAATTTCATTTTGTTCTTTCCTACCTAGCAATACAGGAATGACGAAATGAGTAGTCAACACTTGTAAGAAAAATGTATATATACATAATAAATGTTAATAATATACTCCTCCGGTCCTTAATATAAGACCCATTTAACTAATTTGATTAGATTAAGGAAGTTAGGTAAGTTAGTTAATTATAAGAAAAGTGACACATTCTTCCTAAAACACCATAATCATCTTTGTTAATACCCCATCTTCCTCTTCTACTTAATTATGGTTGAGGGAGTATCCATATGGGTAATTTAGAGAAAATTAATAAATATGAGAAATGGGTCTTATATTTAGGACCAAAACCAACTCAAGAATTGGGTCTTATATTAAGGACCGGAGGAGTACCTTTTAAATATCCTAATAGCCCAAATCGTGAGAGAAAGCGGCACCATTCATTTAACATTTTTAATCCTTCTTACCAAACAATTCATGAGCTGCCCAAATAGCACCTTATCAGGTAAAAAAAAAAAAGTTCATTATATGTAGCTATTATGTTCAAAAAAAGATCCCATTAAAATTATTTTAAAAGAAGATGATCCAAATATTGATAAAAGACAAGTTCATATGTTTTCTTTGCTATCTTTTGAAAACAGCTTAAAATGCTCAATCTCTGTTTACAAGGAATCAAAATATTTAATTAGATATTAATTATATGTGTTTTTTTTTAACTCGTGGAAATTTTCTTTCATGATGAAGGTCTTAGGATAATTTATGTGAGTATGTGGGAGAAAATATGTTTCAACCACCAAATCTTCCAACTCAACCAATAGGAATCGTGATGGTCACCTCTGCCAATGGGAGTGTTTCGACTCAACACAAATGGCTCAGTGAATAATCTACGACAAGCTGCATGCGATGGAATCATAAGAGATGAGAACGGTAATTGGATTGTAGGTTTTCACAAACGACTTGGACGTGTTCCCTCAACCACAGCAGAACTACTTGGGATTACCACTAGACTTCAAATATGTAGACAACAAGGTTTTGACAAAGTGTTGGTCTATACCGACTCACTTGAGGCTATCCACCTACTCATGACAGACAGTGGAGGATACCATCCTTTTAGAACAGAGATCACAAAAGGAAGGAGGCTGATATTCTCTGATTGGGAAATTGAATTTAGATATGCACCTAGGGAGTCCATACAGCGTGTAGATTTTCTGGCAAGAGAAGCACATATCGTGGAGGACATGAAGATTTTAAATGAACCCCATCCTGGATGTTGATCGCCTATGTTTAGATAGGGTCTAAATGTAGTTGTTGTGTTGTACTGATTTATCTTGAGCAAGTTCATCTTGCCCATAAAAAAAAATGCTGATTTCTCCAAACAAAAGGAATCATGCGAAAATATTTAGCTATTGTATGTGCTTTTTGAACCATGAGGTATACCGTAATTTTGATGCTTAGCCTGTTGAAATTTTTCTTTTGTGACAAAGGTATCAGGATCATTTTTATGAATATGTATGAGAGAAAATATGTATAAAAATCCATTCATACTATTGGAAAAAATGCGTAAGAAAAACAACACTTATAGTTTTTTCCCCTTTTGTGTGAATAATGTTCACTTGTTGAGAGCTATATTGAGTCATCGCTATTTAAAGTAAATATGTGAAAAGAATTTTGTTTCGACTTATGAGAAAAAATTGTTTTTAAGTGCTTCTAAAAAGTACCGAAACTCCCCAAGTCGAGTTCGGCTGTGCTGTATATCACATACAGATGTAAAATTCTTTGAACGATAATTTTCTTCAATCATCCCGCATGATAGTAAAACGTTTAACATCATATTGAAGGTGGCCGTGGGAAAAAAACCACTGACCGGAGCCTATACTAACTGGTTGGCTTTTATTTAGATTATTAGATAAAATTATTTATTAAATTTGAAAACCAAAATGCATGAGAGAACAAACTCAATATATGACTAAAAATATTAACTGCTATTGCCAAAGTTCTTCCACCAACAGAAATATAAATTGAGAAAGACGTATAGTTAACTACAACAAAGACCTTTTTTGAACATTAGACTACCACAAATTTAAACTCTAACTTTAAAGCTTAAGAGACAAATCAAGACCCGAAGAATCAAGATAATCATCATTCTCTTTCTTGGGAGCTTCTTCTGGCATAAACTTGATGTGTTGATCACCACCAGTAGCAACAGTAATAGTAGCAGTAGTTGAAGAAGAAGAATTTTGCCCAAACTGATGGCGAGTAGTTGGAGGACTAATATTCTCACTAATTTCTTCAATCTTCAAGGTTCCAGAACTTGCCCTAACTCCAAACCTATCTAGGGTTTGATGATCATGCCTGAACCTAAAATTAGGGTTACTGTAAGAAGGTTTGTGAATCATGGACTCCATTCTAACCCCAAGTGGCCTATTATAATTGATCAAAGGGCTATTAACCAGAGGGTTAGGATGATGATAAGGGTAATTACCATAATAAGAATAGTGTGGAGAATAATAATGATTCCCCAAGAAACCAAAATGGTGATCAGAAACAATCCCTGCTTGTCGTCGTTTTGCAATTGCACGCTCTTGTTTGTGTGCGTTTTGATGGCCTCCTAGGGCTTGTGAGGAAGAAAACTCTCTTTTGCAGAAGTTGCAGCAGTAAGTCCTTTCTGCAGAACTGTTCTTTTCATTATCATCACCATGATGATCTTCAAGATAATCATACTCATGATCTTTTCCATTGTTGTTTTTATTATTTGTTTCAGATGAAGAACCTATGATGTTCACTTCTGATCTGAAAAAATCCAGCTCCATCTTCGATTTATTACGAAGAGAATCATCCTTGCTGCTGGTAATCTTTATGGAACATATATCAAACAACATAAGAGAAATCAAATGGTCAAATAATGAATATATGCGGTAATATAAATTTAAATTACTTTTTCGTGTGTTAATTTAACATATGATTATAATTAGTAGAGAGAAAAGAAATAGAGGGTGAGTGTAAAGAAAGAGGGGAAATAATAAATTCAATGTATTCAGACATTTTTCTGCAAAAAATGTAATCTTTATTGACTTTAAAAGAAAAGTGATTCAAATAGAGGATTAATTCCAATTGCATAGCTGATGATTTGAACTTCTGTGACAGTAGCAAGACAAAACTATAAAAGTGATTTGGAATCCCTTTGGTCAGAAAATACACGAGTTATTACCTTAACCTTAAAAATAATAACTAAAAAACAAAACAAAAGAACTAACGAAATAAATTTTAAAAAGAAAGAAAGAAAAGAAAGTTTTATATATAAATTTACTCACTTGAACCATCTTCATCTTCTGGTTCCTGATGGCTTCATCTCTGGAACTTTCTCCTTTGGACCCTCCTGAGATGCTGGAGGCTTCAGAGGATGAGAAATCCATACCATGATTTGGAGCCATGGAAGCTAATAATAGTAAAACACGAAACCAAAAGAGAGAACAAAAAAGAACTAACTTTTTTGAATCTGTAAAAGAGATGAGATTCAAATTAATCAAGAAAGAAGGACGGTGTCTATTATATATATTCAATTAGAGACACCTATAGTAAATGCAACACAATCTTTAAAGAATTGGAAAGAAATCTCCCTTTTAATTTTTCGGTTATGATTTTCATTAGTAGTACTAAGTGATTGATTTGATTTAACAAGCTTGAAGCTTCCTCACATATTTAAACACACCGTTCCATGAACATGTATCATTAATATTGAATGCTAATTATTGTAATAGTCAAATAAGATCTTTAATAAAGAAGAACATGAACGTTTGGTGTTAGTGCATCAAGGCTTTTATGTAGTTTGTATATGATTTCAAGCAAGAAGCAAAACAGGAAACCAGAAAAATAATTACTTGATTTTTATTTGATCATATCTTTGAACTTAGCCTCTTGAAAGAAATAATTTTGGCATGATTGATGGTTTTATTTATGGAAATGGATTCAGTACAGTTTGATCCATCACTTTTAATTTGATTCATCATTTGTTATCATGCCACATCATCATTCTCCTAAGTGAAGCGATACTCTGTTTTGGAGCATGGGTAGTAAGATCAAATTAAAATAGATGATAGAAATCTTTTTAATTAGGGTGCACTGTATATAAATCTGAATCTTGCATTTATGCCTTAAAAAAGCCAATGTTTAATACATATTTCATTTTGTTTATTTATCTTCACCTGATAGTAAGGATATGTGTGTGTATTACATTATACATAATTTAATACTTTATATATTTTTGAATATGGTTTTAATTTGACATATGCATATGGCACTTTTAATTACTTTTTACAATTTTACAAATAATAATATCATCATTGATATCTCAATGAATTATGGAATTAAAGTCCAATTTGAGTTGAAAGGATCAGAAGAATGAATTGGTGAACCAGTCTCATAATCAGTTTAGCAAATAGGTCGACCAACTTAACTAGATTTGGTATTTTTTTCCTTCCTTGCTCAATCTAAAATGACTTCGTTTTGAGTTTAAAAAGATAATAGGCAATCAAACTTATGTTTTAATAACTTTGTTTTATTGGATTATATATTGTTTATATATATGTTTCATTTATTTGTGGATTAACACCTTTTCGTTAAGCATTACCTTTTTAATATTACAAATGAATATTTTGTATATTTTAATTTTGTTATTTATTATTTTAATCATGGTTGGAGAGTAACCTTAGTTCGACACAGTTCCACCATTTACACTTGAATCATTGTCCCGACTCTTTAATCATTTATTTGATTTTTCAATAACTTGCAATAAATATCATATGTGGGGGCCCTATGCGCTTGTGTTGGTATATAGGTAGCCGTTTATAGTGTATTTTGACAAGTTTATGCAACGATTCTTTTGTTTTTTTAAAAAATATATATAACACTACCTAGCTCTAGCCTTTAATAAAAACTTATTTAATTTTTATTTTGGTCCTAAATATAAGACTCTAATTTACTTTATCTTTTATATTTATCTATTCTTTTCAAGATAGTCATTGCAATAATAGCAGTGCTAGCTAATACACTTGATTGGTAAGGATATTTTAGGAAAAACAACACATGTTTATTACAAATAACTAACTTAACTAATTTTTTTAATCTACTCAAATTAGTCAACTAGCTCTTATATTAAATATTGGAGATACTAATAACTCTAACTACTAATCACTTATCTAGACTTTGCTCTTCTAATAAAAACTGTAAAAATAATCATGAAGCTCAACATGTTTAAGAGAAAAATTAATGATTGCCGTAAACTAAACATTAAAGATGAATAATGATCAACCATAGTTTTATGAGTGCATAGAACCACTTGGTATAGAGGCTTTGTTCCATGTCTACTAACTTCATTGGAATATATTAATTATATTCATTCAATTATCTCATTTTTACCAAACAAAAATTATCTCATTTTTAATGTCATTGAGAGAAGAGAGTCATTTATAAGCTATCTATTTCTATTTCCATATACTTAGAAAGTTTCAAAATTTAAAATTTGGCAAGAACCCTCTTCACAAGTAATTATATTATTATTATTATTATATTTCAGGCAAAAACAACCCTCTTCCCAAGTAACCATCGGGTCATTATATACTGTCATTACAGCAATTTTTCTTCCTACGGCGTGTTTGAATTTTGAGGAGGGCATTCCTCCTGATGCCCCCAAAGTAACGCTATTTGAATATTTAAAATGTAGAAACATATTCGGCGACGCTTCGTTTTTTTTTATATTGAGGGAAATTAATAGAAACGCACACAAGAGTTAATATTTATTATAAAAGATCAGAAAAAATTAGGATGAGGGTGCAACTAGCATTCTGATCTTATTTCTCAGATATATTCACTATCTTGATTCTTTATACAAAACATCCAGCATTTCAATATTTTTTTTTTAACATTCAGTACCTCAATCTTTAGGATACTTAATGCATCAAAAATAAGATTAAGGTGTTGAATAAAAAAAATGAAATGTTAAATATACCGTACAAAAGATTAAAATTTGTAAATGCATATAAAAAATAAAATCCGAGTGTCTGATGCAGAATTACCCTACAAAACTATAATCGAATTGGAGGACGAACCAAAGCCAATTAATCATTGTGCCCTCGTTATTTTAAAAAAAAAAACACACATTTCCCGAAAATTGCAAAGAACAAGACTGAAGCATCAAAAGTTATTGCCAATGATAGAACACAGCCCAATGCTTAGAGAAGTCCAAGTTCAATTTAGTTTACTTGTACTGATAGTACATACTACACCAATCACATTTTTAACTTTGTCTCTGGAAGCGCGTGAGCATGTTTATGGAACATAAGTCTGGTCCAAAAACAAAGAAGTGTTAAGATAGTCTAAGTATTTTTTTCAAACATGTTTAATATTTTAAAATGTTTTATTATGTATTTAATATTTTAAAATATTTTTTAAGTGCATTAAAAAATTTAAATTATATTTTACTGCATTCAACTCTCTAAATATTTTTCCAGATACATTTAAAATGTTAAATTATTTTTTGATGTATACAATATTTTAAATTATTAAATTTAAACTTACACTAAAAAATAGTTTGGAGTTGTGAAATATCTGAAAAATAGTTCAGTTTGTTGAACGCATCAAAAATATTTTAAAATATTTGATGCACCTCATATTCACTCAACAAAAAATCAACTAAAAATCAGACAAAGTCAATTCATCCTTCTTCCCTCCATGTCTCTGAAGTTTCACTCAACCAAGTTAACAAAAATCCAATTAATCTTGCCATTCAAAAATCTTAAATAATCCCCAACATGTCCTGCCAGTAACATCGGATCATTAATATTGAATTGATGAAGGATTGTTGAAGAGAAAAAAATATCTTAAAATACAGTGCAATTATAATAACACCTCATATGTTCTTATATTGGTTGAAATGTCAGATTTTTAATTCAAGTTGTTTCTCAAATTTATATAATTTTTTTAAAATATTTGTTGTAAGAGATTATGTCAAGTGCAGTTGGAATGCATATAATTAGATATAGTAGTTTAATAAATATAACACATATTTGCTACAAATAACTAAATTAACTAATTTTGTTGAATTTTCAAATTAATTATGTAGCTTTTATATTAAGAACTTGAGATGATATTACTTAATAATTTGATTATGTATGAGTTTTATCAATTTGGAGCAGGTGAAATCAAGAACAAGCAAGTCTAGAAAGATCCCAGATTTTAACTCTATTACACTAAGTATCAAAGATTTGGAAAAATATATCATAATCCCAAGACTAAATGAAAACCCATCAGTAAAACAAGAAGCAGTGGGGTGGAGAAGAGAGGGAGGGGCAGCGATCAGAAACATAGAGTCTGAGTTCAGTTGAGAAGAAAGGGAGGGAAAACAAATTTGAGAAGAAGAAACAAAGTAGAGAATGCAGCGAAGATGAACAGATAGTATGTGGACTAATAACAGATGATGTAGACGGCAAGAGGCAAAGTAAAAGAGTGAGCTGCGAGTTAAGATCTTAGGGGGCCAGGGAAATGCTGAAGTCTGCAAGCCAGAAGAGGGAATATTATTGAGTTAAAAAAATTACTAATAAATGAACCTGGATGGAATCATGGAACTGATACAGAAATTGATCATGGCATTTTCCTGAAAGCTTCATGGATTACATGATTGATTTCGGTGATTATTTTTTTGGCCTGAAGGACGACTTTGCTGGTTCACTGCCAAAATTGACATCTTCACAAATTAAATAACACAATATTATTATTTTCTGCAAAACGTAATATAATTAGAGGAAGACTTTGACTGATAATTGATTTGGCCACTACTTCACTGAGATGACAAACACACACACACACACACAGAGGTCTAGTTTCTCTCAGTCGTCCGAAAAGCAAACTTGCGAGGAAGAAGAAAGGCTAGCAGCTCACCATTATATTTCTACACTACTTCCATCACTAAAAATGTAAGCGTAGTTTCATTCTTTATTTCGTGGCTCTCTGCCTTCTTCTCAATGGATGGATCGTTCCTCTTTTGTTTTTGCGTATATAGTGACTTCATATATGTCTTTATTCACAGTACTTGAATTGAAGTTGTCCTTATTCAAGGCCAACATCGAGTTTTCTCTTTAGTATATACTCGCTCCGTTTTAAAATATAATCGTCAAATCTTTTAAGGGATTTGAATTTTTTTTTTGGTGTAAGTTTTAGTTTGAATTTATCTGATCATGTAATGTGTTTTTTTTTTTTTTTTACGTCTCATCAATTTTATACATTTCCCATTTCTTTTTTTATTTATTCTATCTCATTTCTTTTTTCAGTTATTCTCTTTTTCACATATCCTCTCCATAAATAAAGGTGTTTTAAAAAGATAAGTTGCATTTTTTACTTAGTTATTGTCTTTAACAAACTTTTTTAAGTTGTATAATTTAGTTATTTGATACTTATATTTTGAAATAGAGAAAGTAGCAAGTTTCAATTTCTCTCAACTCCTTCGATTTCTAAAAATTTCAGTTTTGATTGACCCATCCAATTAGCCGAACAAAGCTTTCTTAAATATTCTCCCTTACGATATTATTTTTTTCAAGATTAAAATGCAAATTTGTTTTAAAAGTTTTCATTTAGGAGCAATATTGTCTTGATTTTTTTTGTTTCAAAATTACCTCTGAAATATTAAAATGGAGAAATGTTACTCATTACTGTTAAAAATATTAATGGTTAACGTCAATATTTTAACCATCAAGCTAGTTTTTTAACAATGGGATGAGGTAGCATATTGCCACGTTTTGAAATTTTTAGGCGACATAAAATTCAAAAAAATTTTGAGGACAACATTGACCTGAGCCAAAACTTCTAAAACAAATTTACATCTTAAATTATATCGAAGAAAGAAATTTACATTTTAACTATATTTTTAAGGAAAAATTACACAATGGTCCTAAAAAACACAATTTATTAATCTAAAGTCCTTTAAAATTTCAAAACGAATAGGAAGTCCTATGACCTGAGAGTAATGTATTCTAAGTAAGAAATTACATCCTTGTCCCTGTCCCTAATTGACAAGCTCATAGATGTGGATTAATAAGTTAATGGGAAGCTATTAATAAGTCAAAAAGTATTAGTTAACAACTAAATTTATGGGATAATATAATCTCCATATAAGATCAAATTATAACAAAAGAGTATTAGATAACAGTCTTTAAGTTGAAATCATGTATCACCAGAGCATGTATATTAATATTAGATGAAATAACAAATTTATATCATAATTTTGTTGTAGACAGTCATTTACTATTAACAAATTAATTGGAACTTATTGACAAGTTAGGAAGTGTTAGTTGACAAGTAAATTTATGAGATAATAGAATCTCCACATAAAATGAAATTAGGAAAAATTCTAATGCTCTGTTGTTATAAATTGAATCTATATAGAAGTTATATTATTTTATAAATTTAGTTGTCAACTAATACTCCCTCACTTGTCAATAGCTTCTGATTGACCTGTTAATCTACGCTTATAAGCTTGTTAATTGGGATAGGGACAATCACCTAATTTTCTATTTAGAATATATTACTCTCATGTGATCTCCTATTCATTTTGAGATTTCAAGGAATTTTAAATTAATAAATTGTGTTGTTTGGAGCTTTGCCTAACTTTTCCAACTATGTCACAGAACTACAGTTCCAAACCACAACCAAAAACCGGTATCATTAGCTTTTGTCTTTCAGTCTTTACTTCATTCTCTGCAGTGATGAAACACACAGCTTGATCTCCTTATAATTATTTCAAAATTTGAACATATATATCTACACACACTCACACAGATAGTGGGGGAAGCAGTTAACTTAACCGAAGGATTCGATCACATTACAGTCGATGTAAAAGTGCTATCGCATTCACTCGTAAAAAACCTGGAAGACAAATTGCAGAAGCTTCCTCCTTTGTCCAGTAAATGCAGCATTTCTAAAGTTCCCGTTCATCTACGAGAAGGAAATGAGAAAGCCTTCACTCCTCGAGAAATTTCAATTGGTCCCCTTCATCACAACAATGAAAAAGTTGCTGAGGGAATTTTACGTGTGGGACACATTCCTGCCTCTGAACAGGTAGCAGACGTGCTTACTAAAGCATTACCTGCAGCTTTGTTTAGGACCTTTCGTGAGAAGCTTCATGTGGTCCCTGTGGAGAGTATCTTTAATTCTCATGTTCACCCTCAGGAAAAGTCAAGTAGGGGAAGTATTGGATTATATGCTTAGCTGTAGCCAGCTGTAGTGGGCCCAACTTGACTCACACGAGTAACAAACTTCAGTTTAGCATGTTATAACTACTTCTAGTATAAATAGTTCAGCTCGGCTCAAATTGTACGGTGAAGTAATATCAATAAAAGAATTACTCAGAGTTTTATCTTTCTCTCCTTTACATTTCTCTGCAATTATTCAGATATCAAACACATGGAAGAACACAAACTGAGGTTGCTAAAGGACTTTCTGTCACGAGCAAAGGTAAGCCTGCATGACTGTGTCCAACTTTTGAAGGAGAAAGAATTGTATCTACGAAACTGTTATGCAGACCCCATTGAATTTGACAGTGACAAGTTTATTGAGATCATTCTGGTAGATTCGGCTTTCATTCTTGAACTATTCTTCAGAAATTTCTCAGATAATAACCCATTGCAGGATCAGTATGATCATTTTTTTGGCGGCCCATGGAAGCTTATACGGTTCATTAAAACTGACATGCTTTTACTTGAAAATCAAGTTCCTTTTTCCATCATCGAGGACCTTCTTTCATTGACAAAATCAGATATTAATCCCACAAAGAACGGTGTTCGTCGCTCTGCAATCATGCTAACCTACCAGTTCTTCAAAAAGAAATTGAATCTGAGAGATATGGATAGCTCTGATATTGAGGAAAAAGTGGGTGAACTGGAAATACAACATTTCGTTGATTTTGCCAGAATTTATCGCGTGCCTCCAGTGCTTCCATGCAAAAACAAATTAAAGTGCGTGACTACACCTAGAGCAACAAAGTTACGTGAAGCTGGAGTGAAGTTCAAGGTGAAGAACAGTGGGAATCCTTTTGAAATCAAATTCAGAGACGGGGTGTTAGAAATCTCAAGGTTGAGAATTAAAGATGACACAGAGATTCTTCTGAGGAATCTGATTGCATACGAACGTTATCACTTGCACGATAATTATGTGAATGACTTTGTGTTTATCTTGGATCGTCTGATAGAGACAGCGGGTGACATGGAGTTACTGATGCATTGTGGGATTATAGAGTCAAAGTTATCAGGAACTCAAGAAGTGGCTTCTCTGATGAATAACCTTTGTCCAGGAGTCACCATGGTGAGAAGAAGGTTCTACTTCTCAGATCTTTGCGAGAAGGTGAATGATTATTATAGAGTGCCTTGCATAAATGGAGGCTAACTCTGAAAGAAGACTATTTTAGTAATCCTTGGGCCATTGTATCTGTGATTGCAGCAATTTCATTTCTTCTACTCACCTTCGTGCAGACTTTATTTGCAGTCATCTCCTATTATTTTAAGTAGAAGGTGTAAGCTTCTCTTCCTAGGATCCATCACTTACGTACGAATGTGTTTGTTTCTGTCTGTGCCTGTCAATCTTTGCATCCACAGGGAAGATTAAATTACTAACGATATATATTAGTATTGTACAAGTTGGTTGTACGTTAAGAATGTTTAATGAAAGTTGGTGTTTTAATTTCTTAAAGACGTGTATGTATGTTTGGATTAGATTTTTAGAAGTGATTTTATAATATTCAGCTTACAAAAAAAATTTTTAAGGTGTTTTTGGTGTTTTTTAAGAGTTTAAAAAGATAATAGTTAATCAAACTTATGCTTTGATAACTCTATTTCATTGGATTATATATTGTTTAATAACAACTTTTTATCAAGTATTACTCTTTTTAATATTATATATGAATATTTTTATATTTTAATTGCATTATTTATTATTTTAATCATGGCTGGGTTGACCTTAGATCAACACAGTTCCACCATTTACCCTTAAATCGTTGTCTCTACTCGTTTAATCACTTATTTGATTTTTCAATAACTTGAAATAAATATCATGTGTGGGTGCTTTGTGCGCTTGTATTGGTAGAGTACAGACTGCCGTACATAGTCTATTTTGACAAGTTTATGCACCGATTCTTTTTTTTTAAATAATAATAACTCTAACTGCTAATCATTTATGAGTGCATAGAACCACTTGGTAGAGGCTTTGTTCCATGTCTAATAACTTCATTGGAATATGCTAAACATATTCGTTGAATTATCTCATTTTTTACCAAACAAAAATTATTGTTCCATGTCTAATAACTTCATTGGAATATGCTGATCATATTCATTGAATTATCTCATTTTTTACCAAACAAAAATTATCTCATTTTTAATGTCATTGAGATAAGAGAGTCATTTATAACCCATACTATCTCTATTTCCATATATTTAGAAAGTTTCAAAATTTAAAATTTGGCAAGAACCGTCTTCACAAGTAATTATATTATTACTACCTCATGTCTTAAATATAAAAGTTAGTTGACTAATTTGAAGAAATTAAGTGAATAAGTTAAGTTAGTTAATTGTAATAAATAGGTATTGTTTTTCCTCAAATATCATTGCTAATCAAGTGTATTAACCAGAACTACTATCATTAGAAGACTACATTAGGAAAAAATGCATAAATATAAGAGACAAAGTGGATTAAGGTTTTATATTTAGGATCAAAACGAGATATCACATTAAGAATAAGAAGTAATATTATATTTTTGGCAAAAAAAGCCCTCTTCACAAGTAATCCTAGGGTCATTGTCCCTGTCATTACAGCAAGTTTTCTTCTTACAGTGTATTTGTGGAGGGCATTCCTCCTGACGTCCACAAAGTAACTCTATTCGAACATTATTTAAAAATTAAAATGCATGAAGATATTCAGAGAAGCTTCTTTTTTTATGTTTCCCCAAGTGGGGCTTTAATAGTGTATTATATATATAATTAAGGGAAATTAAACTAAGAAACACACATAAGAGTTAATATTTATTATAAAAGATCATAGAAAATTATAATTAAATTGAAGGATGAACAATAGCCAATTAATCATCGTGCACTCATTAAAAATCACCTTTTTCGGGAGAAAATCACGAAGAACAAGGTTCGAGCATCAAAAGTTATTAACAATGATAATTGATAAAGCACAAAGCCCAATTAAAGGAGTCCAAGTCCAATTAGTTTACCTTTTTTGTTTTTGAGTAAAAGATCAGATCAGATCAAATTAATCAATCAAATGATATTAATAAAAGAAAATGTAACGTTATACATACATGACAGACAGCACAAGGTAAAAAACAAGAATATCCGTGATGATAATTTCTTGTGCTCCTTCTACAAAGTTACTCGCACTAATAGTACGTACTAAACTAATTACTCCTCTAATTTAAATATAAAACTTATTTTGTAGTATAAATTATACTATAAAATGAGTATTATATTTTATTTTGTAGTATAAATTGTATTATAAAATGGATTTTATATTTAACACAAGAGAAGTGCATACTTTACTTCATCTCTGTACACGCGTGAGCATCGGTTTACGTAACATAAGTCTGGTCCAAAAACAAAAGAGTTAACTTACATCATTCTTTTGACATATTTTTTAAGTATGTTCAGTATTATTTTATAGTGTATTCAACATCATGAAATATTATTTTTTTCATATACTTTTGCACTCTAAATTATATTTTGATACATCCATCACCCATAATTGCTAAGTATAAATTTGCATTAAAAAATATTTAGGATGCTACATACACCTGAAAAAATATTTAAGGGCAATCTAAAATATTTTAAAACATTTGATGTACCTAAAAATATACTTATCCGATCTTTAATATAGGATCTAATTGTTAAGTTAATTTTGATCATAAATATAATATTTATTTTTTATATTGTCAATTTTTTCTAAATTACCTTTATAATACTCTCTCAACCATAATCAAGTGAGAGAGGAAGGATGTTAAGAAAGATGATTATAGTGTTTTAGAAAAAACATGTCATATTTCCTATAATTAACTAACTTACCTAACTTCCTTAATATAATCAAATTAGTTAAATAGATCTTATATTAAGAAACGGAGTAGTACTATTTTTAATTCTTAATATAAGAGCTAGTTCAACATTCAATTTGGTTATAAATATAAAACCCCAATTCACTATGTTTTTAATATTTATCTATTTTGCCATCAAGTAATTTCTAGTTGCATTCTGTTAAGGAAACACTATTGATAGGTAATTCAAACACACATGATTAATAAAGGTATTTTAAAAAATACAATATCTATTTATTACAAATAACTAATTTAACTAACTTTTTTAATCCCTCCAAATTAATTAACTAGTTCTTTAGGTAGCATACTCTATGTTACTGGACACACATTCACCCAACAAAATTTGACATAAAGTCAATTCATCCTTCTCCCCTCCTTGTCTCTTTATGAAGTTTCAAGGAATCAAGTTAACAAAAATCCAATTAATCTTGCCATTAAAAAATCTTACACAGTCCACAACATATCCTGCCAATAACGTCGGATCACTAAAGTCAAAGCGCTTTGTTCATACGACTTCAATTCCGTATACGACAGTCTTGAGCCGACGGATATTGAAATTGAAGGGTTGTTGGCCCCGGGGGGAGGGGGATGTCAAAATATAGTGCAATTATAATAATGACTTATATATATACATATGTCCTTAATAATATAACAACTAGTTTAGAGGTTGGATTTAATCTTAAATATAAAATCTCACTCTATATTATCTTCTAAATTTATATAATTTTCTTTTCAAAATATCAATCAATAGGGAATCTCACCAAGCATAATTTCAATGTAAATAATTGAATAAGGTATGTAGTTTAGAAAATTTAATATATATTTGTTAAAAATAACTAATTTAAGTAATTTTTTAATATCTTAAAACTAATTATCTAGCTCTTATATTAAGAACTTAAGGTAGTATTATTTAATTAATAATCTGATTATGTGCGAGTTTTATCAATTTGGATTAGGTGATGATAAGATACTCATCTTAATCATAATGTGAATGGCTTCTATTCACATTGAGCGAGTCAAGAGGACTAATCATCCACAAGGAAAAAAGAAAATATATAGGGTAGGTACGGTTCAAAGAGGACAAACCATCTAAAAGGAAAAAGAAAATATTGTCAACAAAAAAAAAATCGAAAAAAATATTATCATGTTGAAAGAAAAAAAACCAAAAAATTAATCGCTGAAAAGTTTTATAATAAGCAAGCAAGAAACAGATATATAAATTCTGATACATAAAAACAAAACCAAGAACAAGCAAGTCTCGAAAGACCACAAAGCTCTGATAGTATCGGCTTTTAACCCTATTACACTGAGTATCAAGGACTTGATTTAACAAAACATATCATAATTCCAAGACAAAATGAAAATCCAAATAAAAAATAAAAATCCATCAGTAAAAGAAGAAGCAGTGAGATGGAGAAGAGAGGGAGGGGAAAACACACCCTTGAGAACAAGGACGACGCATGAAGAGAGAAGGAGAGAGAGCATGAACAGGAAGTCTAGGAACTAAGGTGGCTTGAAAATGAGAGATAGAGATTAAGATTGTAGTTGAAAAAAACCATTAAAATAGTATTTAGTATGAGTAATTGTTTGTTACGTGAAATTAGGCAAACCCAAAAAGGTAGGATTGAGGAATAACACTTTCCCCTATGGTATTTCCAATCCCACATATATGGATTTGGGTAATCCTATATAATAAGTAATCTCTTATATTAAACACTCTTTTAATAGATTTTCTTAATCCCAATCCTAATTTCTATCCCTAATTTTTAATGCTTTCTACTGAGACTTAAGAGATGAGGTAGACGGCAAGAAACAAAGTAAAGACTTAAGACCTTAGGACTCAGGCTTGGGAAATACTGAAGACTGAAAGCTAGGAAAGGGAATATCGAGTAAAAAAAATAACTAATCAATGAACCTGGATGGAACTGATACAGAAATTGATGATGGCGTTTCCCAGAAAGTTTCAGGGATTATGTATGGTTGATTTTGGGGATTATGAAAGAAGACTTTGCTACTTATTTGACCGCCAAAATTGACAGCTGCGTGGGCTCCTTCTGTCTGCAGCCACAAATTAAATAATACAATATTAGTGGCTACATCCTTAATATATCCTTAATTTAAATACTAGTTTAACTTTCAATTTAATCTTAAATATAATACTTTAATCCATTTTATCTCTCATATTTATCCTTTGTTTAAGATAATCCTTGTAATAGTTACACATGTTAAATATTGTAACTAATACACATAATTAGTAATGATATTTTAAAAAAGACAATACATATATATTTATTATAAATAATTAACTTAACTAATTTTTTTAATCCACTCAAATTAGTTAACTAGCTCTTATGTTAAGGACCGAAGGTAATATTAACTTATGCAAAACGTAATATAATAATTAAGGGTAAAGTAAGGAAGACTAGCCTTTCTGGGAAACTACTAATTGACTTGGCCACTACTTCACTGAAATGACAAACATATATACGCATATTGTGTGAGAGGCCTAGCTAGTTCCTCAGTCGTCAGAAAAGCAAACTTGCCAGGAAGAAGAAAGGCCAGCAGCTCACTATTTCTCCGTTGCTTCTTTATATCACCAAAAATGTAATCTTACTTTCATTCTCTATTTCGTTTCTTTCTGCCTTCTTCTCAATGGATGAGTCGTTCCTCTTTTGTTCCTCGTATATATGCTGTTAACTTTCTATTCTGCAAATATAATGAGTCCATATATGTCTTTATTATTCACAGTACTTGAGCTGAAGTTGTCTCTATTCAAGGCCAACATCGAGGTTTTTTTTTTTTTTTAGGTTATATACGGGCTTTAAAATATAAGTATCAAAATTTTGAAATAATTTTGCTTCTAATTAATTATATACTTTGTTTGTCTCCTTTTTTCACTTATTCTCTCTCAATTTGATCCTTTTCCACTCATTCGCTCAGGTACTTAATCTCTGCATAAATAAGAGTGTTTAAAAAAATAAGTGACCTTTTTAACATGTTTACCATCTTTAACCAATTTTAATTAACTTTTTAAGTTGCATAATTTAGGTACTTGATACTTATATTTTGAACAAGAGAGTAGCAAGTTTCAATTTCTCTCAACTCCTTCGGTTTCCACAAAACTTTTAGTCTTGACTTGAATACTTTTTGTTAATGACCCTTCTAGTAAGTCGAATGAAGCTTCAGTTAGCATATTAATTATTTTAAAAGGTTAATGTGTAAATTTATTTCAAAAGTTTTCGTTTAGGAGTAATACTACCCAAAAAATTTCTTGGGTTCAAAGTTGCCACAAAAATATTAAAATGGAACCATGCTGCTCCTTACCATTAAAAGTTTTAACAATAAATGTTGATATTTTAACCCTCAACGCTAGTTTTTTAATAGGTAGGGCAACATTACCATGTTTTGAAATATCTGAATCTAAAGAAACTTTCGGAGCAACATTAATTTGAGCCAAAACTTTGGAGGCAAATTCATACTTTCACCATATTTTCATACTATGTCACCGAACTAGAGCTCCAAACCACACAATCAAAGACCGGTGTCATTAGCTTTTGTCTTTTAATCTTTACTTCATTCTATGCAGTGATGAAATATACAACTTGATCCCCTTAATTATTTCAAAATTTGAATATGCATTTATGTACACACACACATATACAGATAATGGGGGAAGCAAACGTCACCGAAGGATTCAATAACATCACGGTCGATGTATCGCATTCACTGGTGAAAAGCCTGGAAGACAAATTACGGAAGCTTCCTCCTTTGTCCAGTAAATGCAGCATTTCTAAAGTTCCCGTTCATCTCCGAGAACGAAATGAGAAAGCCTTCACTCCTCGAGAAATATCAATTGGTCCACTTCATCACAACAAGGGAAGCCTCAAACACATGGAAGAACACAAACTGAGGTTACTAAGGGACTTTCTGTCACGAGCAAAGGTAAGCCTACGTGACTGTGTACAACTTTTGGAGAAGAAAGAATTGTATCTCCGAAACTGTTATGCAGACCCCATTGAATTTGACAGCGACAAGTTTATTGAGATCATTCTGGTAGATTCCGCTTTCATTCTTGAATTATTCTTCGGAAATTTCTCGTATAACAACCAGTTGCAGGATCAGTATAATCAATTTTTTGGCGGCCCAGGGAAGCTTATACGGTTCATTCAAACTGACATGCTTTTACTTGAAAATCAAGTTCCTTTCTTCATCATCGAGGACCTTCTTTCATTAATAAAATCAGATATTATTCCCATAAAGAACGATGTTCGTCGTTCTGCAATCATGCTAACCTACGAGTTCTTCAAAAGGAAGTTGAGTCTGCGAGATATGGATAACTTCAATATTGAAGAAAAAGTGGGTGAACTGGAAATACAACATTTTGTTGATTTTGCAAGAATTTGTTATGTCCCTCGAGTTCTTCCAAGCAAAAACAAACTGAAATGCGTGACTATGCCAAGGGCAACAAAGTTACGCGAAGCTGGAGTGAAGTTCAAGGTGAAGAACAGTGGGAGTCCTTTTGACATCAGATTCAAAGATGGGGTGATGGAAATCTCACGGTTGAGAATAAAAGATGCGACGGAGATTCTTCTGAGGAATCTGATTGCATACGAACGTTGTCACTTGCACGATAATTATGTAAATGACTTCGTGTTTGTCCTGGATCGTCTGGTAGAGACACCAGGTGATGTGGACTTGCTGATGCATTGTGGGATTATTGAGTCAAAATTATCAGGAACTCAAGAAGTGGCTTCTCTGATGAATAACCTTTGTCCAGGAGTGACCATTGCGAGAAGAAGGTTCTACTTCTCAGGTCTATGCGAGGAGGCGAGTGATTATTGCAGAGTCCCTTGGCATAAATGGAGGCTAGCTCTGAAGGAGGACTATTTTAGTAATCCCTGGGCCATAATCTCTATGGTTGCAGCAATTTCCCTTCTTCTGCTCACACTCGTGCAGACTTTATATGCAGTCATCTCCTATTATTTTAAGTAGAAGATGTGAGCTTCCCTTCCTAGGATCCATCACTTACCTACGACTATGTATGTGTGTTTGTGCCTGTCTCTCTTTGCATCCAGAGAGAAGATTAAATTACTAACTACATGAATATTGTATAAGCTGGTTGTACGTTAAGGGTGTTTAATGGAAGTTGGTGTTTTAATTTCTTGAAGACGTGTATGTATATTTGGATTAGACTTTTAGAAGTAAGAGAAGTTTTGCCCAACTTGCCTGAAAAAGACTTTTTTAAGTGCTATTAGTGTTTTCCAAACACCCCTAATAAATATCTCTCTTTGTTCCATTGTTATATGACGTATGCTTAAGAGAAAAATAATGATTACCGTGAATTAAACATTGTTGATGAATAATGATCAACCATAGTTTTCTTAACAACCGTGTGTCTTGCTTCAGTGGAATATATGCTAATTATATTTATTCAAGTATCTTATTTCTTTGTTGTCATTGATATAAAAGGTGCCATTTAAAACCTATCTATTTGTATTTCCATATATTGAGATAAAGTTTCAAATTTTAAGATTTGTCAAGAAGAAGGTATTTATATTATTATTATCATCATCATCTTGTTCATTATTATTACTGTGATAATTATATTTCAGGCAAAAAAAAAATCCCTCTTAACACTAGTAATCCTCGCGTCATTATCAATGTCATTAAAATGCAGAAACGTCTTAGAGCGGCGATATGCTTCTTTCTTTCCGCTCCCCAAATGGCGCTTTAATAATGTACTCCCTCCATTTTTTTTTTTATAAACAACAACTACCATATCCTTCTTGTCCCTAAATATAAGCAACATTTATAAGTTGTCTTAAATTGTTATGTCAAATTTCCTATTTTATCCCAATTAATTACTTATTTTAATATTCAATATATTTATTATCTCATTTTTCAAATCATTATCTCTCTTCATCACATATTCTCTCTCTTTCATAATTCTCTTTATAATAATAATTTTCTTATTCTCTTTCTTATGCTCTCTTTCCCCCATAAATAATGATATTTTGGAGAAAGAATTGTTAATTTTTACCTATGTATTGTCCTTAACTAACTTATTGATGAGTTCTATGTTACTTATAAAAAGGGATGGATGGAGTATTATATAGTAAAAATTAATCTGAAAGTGCTTATAATTTCTTTTAGTTTTGAAACATCTCTAATTTTTCTTCTTCTTTTTATTAGTCCTTTTTAATTTTCCGCCGTTAAATTCATTATTTCCTGATATTTAAAACTACTAACCAAAGACTAATACTAGTAGGGGTGTTCACGGGACGGGACGGGACCGGGATGTCCCGCTTCCCCTTTTTAAAAAAAAAAAAGATACCATAATTTTTATATAAATTTTTTTATGTTATAATACTTATTTTTTATTGGGCTTTTAAAGATAAAAACATTATAAAAAAATATTATGTAGAAAGCTTAATTATATAGCATAAAAAAGGTGTACAAATAATACTGTAAAAAAATACCGTAAAAAAAAAACTATATAATGACTTTATAAATTATTTTATTGAGGAAGGAGATTTTGTTGAGATAATACTACAACTTAAGAGCTACAAATCACCATAAAAATAAGAGTTATTATTAATAAGTAAATTGAATAATCTAATAATAATTATTAATAAATAATTTTTAAAAGAAAAAAAAATCCCGGACGGGATGACTCCGTCCCGCGTCCTGTCCCGAAATTTTTTTTGTCCCGTCCCGTCCCGTCCCGAACTCACCGGGACCGGGACGGGACAAATTGAACACCCCTAACTAATAGTATTGAAAAATTTTTTGTTAGGAAGACAAAATAAACTGATCCTATGGAAGAAATGGCCGTAAAACATATTGCTGCAAATTAATCTGTTAATCCCAGGTTATTGGATTAAAAGGCTGTGTTCTTCCCAACATCATTAATCCTTATTCAATAATTTTAAATCTCAAGAACTAACAAACTTAGTGGTTGAAAGTTAAAAGACTCAGTAAAAAGGAAAAAAAATGGTTGAATTCAGTAAAAAGGAAAAAGAAGTGGTTGGATCTGATTCAAAACTTATGTATAACTAAGAGAAATTATTATACTAAGAAAACCCTAAGAGTTCATATTTATTGTAAAAGACCATAAGAAATTATAATTTTATTGAAGGTTGAGCAATAGCCAATTAATCATTATACTTCATTAAAAGACACTTTTTTAAGTAAAAAAATTACAAAGAACAAGGCTCCAGCAAAAAAAAAGTTTGATGCTGATCAAGTTTGTAAAATATAACAGTTAGTTGTAAAATTAGTTTTTGTTTTAAAAATAACACCTCCATCTACTTAACTTCTTAGATTTATTTTTCAAAATATCCTTATTAATTAATTTTAAAAGATTTTCAATAAAAGAATAGTTTTAATACACATGATTATAGAAAATAGTTTATAAAAATCAACGTATATTTGTCACAAATATAGTTGGCAAAAAAAATTTGTTACATAACTAATTTATCTAATCTTCTTAATACTTAAAATTAGTTATGGAGTTCTTAATTTAATTAGGGGGGGGTAGTAAAATATAATGTGCAATGGGTGGGTAATTCAATAATATAGAAATTCTTTTGGACCGTCTTTCTTATTGTTACAGATCAGAGACACAAAGTCAATTCATCCTCCCTGCCCTCTCTGATTCTCCGTCTCTTGATCAAGTTTCACTGACCAAAAAGTTAATAAAATCCAATTAATATAATATTGCCATTAAAAGATCTACAATAAGGTCCCATACCAAAAAAAAAAATACAAAATAAGTCTCAGAGGTTGTTATTCTCCACTCTAGAACTTGTCATTGTCATTACAGGCTGTTCAGGTTATTATTAAACAGTTTAGTAATTATTTCTCTTACACGGTACTTGATTCTAATTCTCCCTGAAATCAATATAGTGCATATTGCGGCCCATGAATTTTTTTTAAGAAAAAAATGCAATAGTTTTTGGATGATGTGAATACTTAACTAGTGGTCCACTGTCCCTAATTTAAGAATATTAAAAAAGTTATTAAATTATTTAATTATAATATATGTTATATGGTCTCTTTAAAATATTTATCTGTATCATTAGATTATATATCAATTTATAGGTAAAAAAATTAGTTTGGAGAAAAACGATAAATACAAATAGTTTAAAGTAATTTAATAACTTTCTTAATTTCTCCAAAATAATTAATTAGATCTCATATTAAGTAGGAAGAATTAGAGAGAAGGACTAATGGGGAGAGATATTTATGAGAAAGGATTATAAAAATTAAAATTATTTTAAAGGACCAAATATTCAAATATAAATTTAAAAACACTATATTATCCCTATCTAAACCTCCTATATTTTCTCCTATATTTCTTCCTACATTTTATTTTTAAAACTAATATGATTAATAAAATTTAATAAATTAACTTGATTTCTTTTAAAATTTACAACCTGCGTAAAAAATCAATTAAAAAATATGCAAACATTATTCAGTCAAGTAAAAATTAAAGTTTATTTTCTTTATTAAAAAAAAATTATAACCATCACAAATTTTAATTAAAAATAAAATTTATATAATTTTATTAAAATTTAGATTATTATATACTCCTTCGGTCCTAAATATAAGAACCATTTTATAAAATAAATTACACTACAAAATGGGTCTTATATCTAGGACTGGAGTCATAATATATTATATACATAATTTAAAAAATTTAAAGAAAATTTGTATAATTTGTTTTTTTATTTTATAAGAAATTTATATTAGATTTAGAAGTAAAAAATTCATACAATAATAAGAAGGTTAAAGAATTCAGATAACCTTTTATAATTTTATGCAAAATATGTAACCATGATTGCTTTTATTGGATAATATTTAATCGTAATCCAAAAAATATTTTCAATACAAAATTTCAATAAATCATATAATAAATCACAATATAAACAAATGATAATAAGTTTTTTCTTTTTTTATTTTTGGGAAAATGATGATTTTTTATTATCTTAATCTACTAATTACTAAAATATTCGGCAGAAATTTTAACATATTGAAAATTAGTTTATTTTACAAAAAATTATTTTTTAGGGATATATCACCTTGTTGTAATTTGTTTAAGTGAAATACAATTTGTTTTATATTTTTTAATACTTTATATCTTATATTTTATTTATATTAATATATCATATAATTAGGTGGCTCTTGTCAAATGATGTTGAGGAAGGGTCTTATAAAATTATAGTAACTATCTGAATTCTTTAAATTTCTTATCGTTACACGAATTTGTTATTTTATATCTGACATAAATTTCTTATAAAATAAAAATTAATTATACAAAGTTTTTATTTTTTAAAATTGTGTATATAATAAATTATATAATAATATAAATTTAATAAAAATATATAACTTTTATTTTCAATCAATTTTGAAAATAAAATTTTACTTTTATAAAGAAAATAAAAATTTAATTTTCACATCACTGAAAAATGTCTGCATTTATTTTAATTGATTTTTACATATGCTGTAAACTTTAAGAGAAATCAGGTTTAATTTAGTAAAATTTATTAATTTGTATTAGTTTTAAAAATAAAATGTGGGAGGGAATATAGGAAAAATAGGAGGTTTGGATAGGAACAATATGGTATTTTTAGATTTATATTGGAATATTTAGTCTTTGTAAATAATTTTAATTTTTATGATCTTTTTTTATAAATATCACTCTCTATTAGTCCTCCTCCTAGATAGCACTTGGCTTGAAGCTTTATCGTGGATTCTTCCAACCCACCTTGACGATTCTCATAGTGCTGTATTGGAAAACGAAAGATGCCTCCACGCGCACATGACGATGGACAAAAAGGCCTAATCCTCGCAATATAAATATTACTGTATTGAAGCAACAAGCTCACCTTTTTTTTTTTTTTTAAAGATAAAGAAGCAACAGCCTTTAATTAGACCCATTATAAAGCACAACGATGGGTGAAAAAGCCTAATCCTCTCAGTATAAATATTACTGTATTGAAGCAACAAGCTTGCTCGAGAAGCAACAACCTTTAATTAGATCCATTATAAAGCATGACGGTGGATGAAAAAGCCTAATCCTCTCAGTATAAATATTACCGTATTGAAGCAACAAGCTTGCTTTTTCTTTTTTTCTTTTTTAAGATAAAGAAGCAACAACCTTTAATTAGATCCATTATAAAGCATATCCCCGCACGCGGAACTGATACGATCATTTTGATGATGACGTTTTGAAGATTCCCAGCAATTTTCACATGCTCCGAAATGGAGTCAATTAAAACCCAATTTTTTTGGGGCGATATAAGTAAGTGGTAATTATATGATGATGGCGATTACTTAAAAACGCCACTGTGTGTTTAGGTGCTCTACAATACTACCTCCGGTCCTAATTATAAAAGCCAGTTGATTAATTTGAGGAGACTAAAGAAGTAAGTTGGGTTAGTTATTTGTCCTAGATAGGTGTTGTCTTTCCTAAAATATCCTTGTTAATTAAGTGTATGATTAGAACTATAATTATTAGAAAGACTATCTTGGAAAAAATTGAGTAAATATGAGAGACAAAGTAGATTGGAGTCTTATATTTAGGACCAAAATAAAAGTTAAACAGAATCTTATATTAAGTACCGAAGGTAGTATTTAACTACTACCTACTTTATTAAATATTATTAATTGCTTTCTCAGTTAATGAATTGAATCACGCTGTACAAATAACTAGCTTGACTTGTAGCCTAGTTTACTGAGAAGACATGCATATATATCACAGGTTCCTCAGTCATCACCAACCCAAACTTCCGAGGAAGACGAAAGGCCTAGTTAATGACCCATCCAACCCGTCGATTGAAGCTTTCTGTTAAATGTTCTCCGTCAGCATATAATTTTCAGACTACAGTTTCAATCCATACAACCAAAGACTGGTATCATTCAATCAAATAGCTTATTTTTTTATTTCCATCTTTACTTCATTCTTTGCAGTGATGAAACATACAACTTGTTGATTTGATCTCCTTATCTATCGAAATTTGAACACACACACACAGATAATGGGGGAAGCAGTTGACTTAGCCGAAGGATTCGATCACATCACAGTCGATGTACAAAAGCTATCAGATTCACTTGTAAAAAGCCTGGGAGACAAATTGCAGAAGCTTCCTCCTTTGTCCAGTAAATGTAGCATTTGTAAAGTTCCTGCTCATCTACGAGAACGAAATGATAAAGCCTTCACTCCTCGAGAAATTTCAATTGGTCCGCTTCATTACAACAATCTAAACCTCAAACACATGGAAGACCACAAACAGAGGTTACTAAAGGACTTTCTGTCACGAGCAAAGGTAAGCCTACGTGACTGTGTCCACCTTTTGAAGAAGAAAGAATTGTATCTACGAAACTGTTATGCAGACCCCATTGAATTTGACAGTGACAAGTTTATTGAGATCATTCTGGTAGATTCCGCTTTCATTCTTGAACTATTCTTCAGAAATGTCTCAGGTAATAACAAGTTGCAGGATCAGTATGATCATTTCTTTGGCGGCCCATGGAAGCTACGGTTCATTAAAACTGACATGCTTCTGCTTGAAAATCAAGTTCCTTTCTCCATCCTCGAGGACCTTCTTTCATTAACAAAATCAGACCTTCCCATAAAGATCGATGTTCGGCGTTTAGCAATCATGCTAACCTACGAGTTCTTCAAAAGGAAGTTGAATCTGGTAGACATGGATAACTTCAATATTGAGGAAAAAGTGGGTGAACTGGAAATACAACATTTTGTTGATTTTGCCAGAATTTGTTATGTCCCTCGAGTTCTTCCAAGCAAAAACAAACTAAAGTGCGTGACTATGCCAAGGGCAACAAAGCTACGCGAAGCTGGAGTGAAGTTCAGGGTCAAGAGCAGTGGAAATCATTTTGATATCAAATTCAAAAACGGGGTGTTAGAAATCTCACGTTTGAGAATTAAAGATGACACAGAGATTCTTCTGAGGAATCTGATTGCACACGAACGTTGTCACTTGCACGATAATTATGTGAATGACTTCGTGTTTATCCTGGATCGTCTGGTAGAGACAGCCGGTGATGTGGACTTGCTGATGCATTGTGGGGTTATTGAGTCAAAATTATCAGGAACTCAAGAAGTGGCTTCTCTGATGAATAACCTTTGTCCAGGAGTAACCATGGCGAGAAGAAGGTTCTACTTCTCAGATCTGTGTGAGCAGGTGAGTGATTATTATACAGTGCCTTGGCATAAATGGAGGCTAATTCTGAAAGAAGACTATTTAGGTAATCCTTGGGCCATCATCTCTGTGATTGCAGCAATGTCACTTCTTCTACTCACCTTCATGCAGACTTATTATACTGTCATGTCCTATTATTTTAGCTAGTATAAATATGTGGGTAATTAATAGGTTTCTCTGCTTAGCAGATTATTGTTGTTATTTATCATCGATCACAAATATGTTTTGTGTCTGTGTGTATGTGTGTACCCATCTCTCTGTGTATATATAAGTAAGAGAGACACTGATATTTTAGTAATCTTAATGGACAGATCCATGGTTGAGTTACTATGATTATCGTACTATAGTTGGTTGTTAAATGTGTTGTGTGTAATGGAAGTTGGTGTTTTGTGAAGACATGACATCTCTATTGGATCCATTTTCATGCTCGGATACAACAAGAAGCTAGCGCAAACTCCTCACATTCCACTAATGAGGGGGAAAAAAAAAATCTCTCTTCTGGGCAAAAGTACTTTCAATCGGAATCATATTACGTTTTCTAAAGTTGTTGAAGAGAACAAAGTTGTTAAAATATTTTTTTAAAATATATTCAGTATCCTAAAATTTTATGCATTTAACATCTTAAAATATTATTATTTTTCATATACTTTTCACATTCTAATTAAATCACATTCTAAATTATATTTTAGTGCATCCACCACCCTTAATTGCTAAGTATAAATTTGAATAAAAATATTCAGGGTGCTGAATACATCCAAAAAAATAGTTGAGGGCAATCCAAAATATTTTAAAACATTTGACGTACTTGAAAATATATTATTTTCGATTCTTAATATAAGAGCTAGTTTAATATTTAATTTGGTTATAAATATAAAATCTCAATCTGCTATATCTCTAATATTTATCTAACCTGCGAGTTCTTCAAAAGGAAATTGAACCTGGTAGACATGGATAACTTCAATATTGAGGAAAAAGTGGGTGAACTGGAAATACAACATTTTGTTGATTTTGCCAGAATTTGTTATGTCCCTCGAGTTCTTCCAAGCAAAAACAAACTAGAGTGCGTGACTATGCCAGGGGCAACAAAGTTACGCGAAGCTGGAGTGAAGTTCAAGGTGAAGAACGGCGGGAGTCCTTTTGACATCAGATTCAAAGATGGGGTATTGGAAATCTCACGGTTGAGAATAAAAGATGCGACGGAGATTTTTCTGAGGAATCTGATTGCATACGAACGTTGTCACTTGCACGACAATTATATGAATGACTATGTCTTTATCTTGGATCTTCTGATAGAGACAGCAGGTGACGTGGAGTTACTGATGCATTGTGGGATTATAGAGACAAAGTTATCAGGAACTCAAGAAGTGGCTTCTCTGGTGAACGAGCTTTGGCCGGGAATGACCATGGCGAGAAGAAGGTTCTACTTCTCAGATCTGTGTGAGGAGGTGAGTGAGTATTATAGAGTGCCTTGGCATAAATGGAGGCTAATTCTGAAAGAGGACTATTTTAGTAATCCTTGGGCCATCATCTCTGTGATTGCAGCAATGTCACTTCTTCTACTCACCTTCGTGCAGACTTGTTATACTGTCATGTCCTATTATTTTAGCTAGTGTATGTGTAATTAAATAAATTTCTCTGCTTAGCAGATTATTGTCGTTATTTATCATCGATCACAAATATGTTTGTGTCTGTGTGTATACCCATCTCTCTATGTATATATAAGTAAGAGGGAGATTGATATTTTAGTAATCTTCATGGACAGATCCTCCGTTGGGTTACTGTGATTATCGTACTATAGTTGGTTGTTGAATGTGTGTGTATAGTGGAAGTTGGTGTTTTGTGAAGAGATATGACATCTCTATTGAATCCATTGTTATGATTGGATACAACAAGAAGCTAGTGCAAACTCATCACATTAATATCATCATCAATATCAATAACAATCAATATATATATATATATATATATATATATAGAATCTTTTCCACCAAGCCAGCTCAAATATGGCTTATTCTCAGTCTTAGATACATATTACTGTTCACAAGCCAAGTTTAGTTTACCTCAGGCTTTGTTTGAGCCGACTTTAGCTAATGTCATGACTTGGGCTTCGCATTCAGCCCATTCATTTCCACTTTCCATGAGTTTTCTACCAATTCAAATTTCAAAATTCCCAAGCCTCCCACCGTGGCAACTTCGGTTTCGTACTTCTCCCAGCATCTACCTCAGATGCTATAACTTTCCTATCTCTCTCATTCTCACCTCAAATTCTTCTTCCACAAACCGCTCTATGATTTTTTCTTCTTCACAGTCTTCTTTCATGCTCGTCGATGAATCAGTGCTTCCATCTTAAGCATTCAGCAAGGCATTTGTGCTCTCTGCTCTTCCTCTAATTTTCTTCATCTCTTCCATCTCCCTCTCACTATTGCTTCTGCTCCTCCCCTGCTCTTCTTTTAAATTTATCTCGTAGATCCTCATTACTGATTATGTAGATGTGTGTGAACGGTGGGGAGATATTGGACAAGCACTGCTCCCAGCAAAATCAAAGTTCTTACCGGGCATCTTCTCTTTCCATGTATGATTTCGTCTATCTACCAATGGGTTGCAGGTAAGTGCAATACGGTACCTACTATCGAAAATCAGTTCTATATCTTGCACATATTAATGGTTCATGACTGCATGCTTCTTTCTCAGGAAATTTGAGCATGACAAGAAGCAATCGAATATGGGTTACACGTTTGTGGATTACACATCAGCAAGAGCTGCGTTTCTGTGTTTCCTATAATTCAACGGGCAGAAGTGGCCTGGTAATGAGAACTGGAAGGTCTGCGAGGCAGCTAAGGGCCAGATTCAAGTGGGTTATCAATTCTTGGTTTGGACTATTTTTTTATCATTGTTATATTCAGTGGACTTTATTTTGGCAACTGTTATGGCAATTTTCTAGGACTTTGTGATATGTAATACATATTTCAAACCAATTTTAAACTTTGAATTATTTTATTGTGTGATGCACTGTCAGGCTTGGGCTCCTGCTGCACTTTATTATGTTTTTTTTTTCCCCTTTTCATTCCTTCGTTTAATTAATTTGGGTAAAGTTTCATTTCTGCAAGTGCTCTATTATTCATTGGTGTATACTCAGTTCTTTACACTTAACAATAAACAGTTATTATGTATTTGTCCTATAAAGTCGATTCACAATTCTTATATATTTGTTTTCTTTGTTGGTATTCCAAGTGTAGGAGGTCAGCTCAAACATGCCATGCTGTGTGCCGGGATAATAATGAAGATCCTCTTTGATTGTGAGGCATGGGGTTTATTATTAAAAACTAAAATGATAAGGTTTTGAGTCTAAGGATCGACTTACTTGTAATTTTAATTCTTTAACAACATATATAATCTGTGTTCTTGGACTACGTTACATGCACTTCATAATGAACATCTGGATTTACACTTATAATCAATTTAAGTGACATTATTATAATATGCTGATCCTTATAAACAAATGGGTAATGCTCCATCATCAATTTCCCAACTGTATATACAAAGTAGGAAGGACATGAAAGCTTCACATTCTCGATCTGCAAGAGTCAAGAAAAAGACCATAGCATTAATAACAATAATAATCCAATTCATTCTAACATAAACTCACAATATAAGAAGCAATGTTCACCATAAAACTTCAACAACTAACTCATCACTTACCAGAATATGCAAAAGTTATCTCATAAAGTTTTCATTCCATGCAATGTTAAAAATTCAAACATTTGTTTTCAAATAAAAAAGTATCAGATCATGTATAAATCAGTGGAAACAAATTCAAATGCTTCTTTGCTGTCAAATACAACCGTGAAGTAACAAAGCACATGATTAAAAAAAAAGACAATATATTCTCATGCTCTGCCAAATGAGACGTGGTAAAAGTTGCAGGTGGATGCTTTTTCTTCTGAATCTAAAGTGTTGTGAGAGATTTTGGCAGTCCAGAAGTAAATGCAGGGAGAATCAGTTTTATATAAAATCAGAGATTTAGAGGATGACTTTTCTGAGGTATTGTCCCTTTCCTCTGCTACGTGTAGATTTCTACATCAGTTTTCTCTTCCTTCTTTTCTGTTTCACAGAGTTTAGCATCACTTAACCATTATTTCTTAAACGTGCGTGCATCAGGAAAACAAATAACATGCTTTGATCGCAAGGCTAACTTTGATTTGTAGAAAGTTTGGGGAAGGACTGTTTTCAGAAGTTTCATTCAGGTGATATTTCATAATTACTAATTACTGACAAAAGGAAATAGAAACATTATTGGGTGATATTATAGGTATCTATATGGATGTAGATAAGAAAAGCTCTGTTTTGGCTGTCTGAAACTAATAAGCTGGCCCGACCAAGTTAATATATCATTGATTTACACAAATTGTTGAAAATATACCCAGCTTTTGAATAAATTCTAATGTTATGTACATATATTGGCTATCTTATTCTCTCACTGCTTCTATATCTTTTAATTACTACACCTCTCAGTTCCTGTGTTGTAAGCCAATAGCTTCTATATAAAATATGGTGTTGTGTTGTTGTTTTTTTTTTTTTTGTTTGGGTTGTATCTGGATCAGTGAGTCAATACGAGAAGATTTTCCTAATTTATGTTCTATCTCAGAAAGGAAATATTGTGCCTAAAAAACTTCAATGTAGCTTTATGCATTTTTGATGGAATTAAGAGGTGTAAGGGGGGTCTCTTTTTTAAATGCAGGCACAAGGAACTATAATCCATTAGAGGCTATTAGCTTTTTGTCTTTGGTATACCAGTGAAGCGGTACATGGCAATATCAATGCGTGTAAAAGAGATAAATATGTTCCCCTGGCGATATGAGTGAGGAAATATTATGCAGAAGCTATCTTAGTGCAAGTTTCTTATACGTATGTGCTATTGTTTAGGCACGCCAAGTTGTCACCATTATGTTATCAACAGCCCTGTCTTTCAAAGATAAGGGTCATCTGCATCAAAGTACTGACCATTCTGTGTAGAACACATTGTTATGCGTCCTATGTCCAGTATTTTTTTATTGTTAGTATTAATCATGTAGATGTTATGAGACATGTCTCCCAGTGCAGCAATATCGTCAGTATGTATATATAATTGGTCAACCACAATGCCTGCATTATATTTTAATTTTTAAAGCTTCTTTATGAAAAAGAATGAGGACTAACAATGAGGAAGTTTTAAGTGAAGGCGTCATTTTCCCATTTAAGTTACTTTTTTTTAACATTTGTCTCTTAATTTGAATTCGTTGCACAATAGTATAAATCATGAAATCTAGAGGATCTTGATGTTTAAGGTTGGTAATTTCTATTGCACATCATGAATCAATAATAAAATATATCATCCCTGTTAGGTGTTTTCCCCGACTTTCAGCACCTTGCAAGTGATGCTGTGTTTCTATTCTTTTATGTGATGCCAATGATTTATGTTATTTTAGTATGGAATTCTTCAAATTTTATACCTGCTCTAATTTTTTCCTTGAATTATTTGGGGGATGTAAGGCAATAAAATATGTATCCTTGACTTGGGATTTAGAAAATCATAATTAAAAGAGGATGATTTGTTTGTTTGTTTAAACCAACGTGGATTATTTGTTTGTTGATGCAATATGATTTTTTGTAATTTTATAACCATTGAAGCCCACGTCCTCACACGTTCCATGAGGAAGTAAGCATTTTTTTATCTTGACATATAAAGATTTTTTTCCATTATTTTTTATCATTGAAAAAGAAGGTACAGTTACTATTCAATAAATTTTCTATATGAGTTAGGAGCATGGTAGGATGGAAAATATTTTTCCATAATTGTGTGATGGTTGTTAAAAATCAACTATTATTGGAAGATGTAGGAATTTGCATTATGATATCTAAATGTCAACTGGAAGCATAGAGTCATAAAAAATTTTTTTTTTTTGGGGACCAGCCGTAAAAGATAAATTGAAGTTGAATTCATAACTATGATTGCTACATTGCATTAAAGGCTAAAATGTGATAACTCTTATCAATTAATAGTAGGAAATTATTTTAAATTAATTTGTACATGATACAAATGTAATGAAACAAATATGATCATTTAAATAAAGCTTAGAGATTGTGCTTAGAAATGTTCATATCTTCATTTTTTATGTGTCATGAATTCATGGAATATCATGAATTATGATATATTTATGTGTAGTGAGAGGTGTGAGTTTTTTTTAATAAAATAAAATAAAAACACTTCAAATTACAAGCTTTCCGCTCATTGCGCGGGAAGCACACACGAGTTCCACTAATGAGGGGGAAAAAAAATCCCTCTTATAGGCAAAAGCACTTTAAATCGGAGCCATGTCACATTCTTTAGGGTTTGTTGGAGAGAACAAAGTTGCTAGAATATATATTTTTTAAATATATTTAGTACCCTAAAATATTTTATGTATTTAACATTTTGAAATATTATTTTTTCATATACTTTGCGCATTCTAAATTATATTTTAATGTATTCACCAACCTTAATTGCTAAGTATAAATAGGATGCTAAATATACCTGAAAAAATAGTTGGAAGGAAATCCAAAATATTTTAAAACATTTGACATACCTGAAAAT